CAATAATTTTCACTTCTTGCGGAAAATAAAGCAACCCTTCTTTGAGTAAGTGATACGCCTGGCTATATGAGCAACGCAGAGGGACTGAAACGGGTAATAACAAGCACTAATCTCTCGTCTTTTTCAGCTGAATGCATTAGCTTCAAATAATTCATTTAACGAGCCCCATTCAAAACCCCTATGAACCAAAACTCCTCACTGCCTTATGCAGGAAGCGAGAGTGTCTTTCTAATTAAATTAAAGAACAAAACGCATATGAAATCAGCAATAAACGCTCATGAGAAGTGCTATGCAACAAGAGCTTCTATTTGAACAAGTAACTCACAATACAGAAGAAAAAATGCCGCAAACCCTATAAAAGTGTTTAACAACAATTTCATTTTCACAACTCAATGCACGAATATGTTGGACTAGAGCATACTGCACATTTGTAAACAAAGGCATTGACTATCACAGAAGTGCCTATGACAAAGCCATACTGCCAATCACCGACCTTGCCCTCCTTCAAATTCAAGAAGGGTCCTTTTTTCACGAGAAGCATATGGGAGAAAAAAGAAAGAAAGTCAGGAAAATTGGCAGTGTGACTTTTTCTATTAGGAAAGATTTCGAAGTGAAAAATTTGGGACGGAGATGATATGGACACATTGACTGTAGGATATGTTGTTTCGTGATTTGTGTAGACCATCACAGAGAGAAATAAGGAATGTTCCTATACATGAGGGACAAGTAACATGATAGAAAAGAAGCAAAAAAGTAAGTAATCTAGAATTTAAGGCTCTTCTTCATCTAACATCAACGGATTGTTTACGACTGAGAAACGACGCTTTCGTTTCAGCACCACATCCACTATGAGAACACCAGCTAGCAGCAATGTGGTCAAAGCCAAAACTGCCGTCGAAACTATAATATAAAACAAGCTACACTACTAGAGCTAATCATCAAGGAAGTGGATAATCAGGGAAGTGTTCCAACTTTCCCATGAAACCTTGCATTGAGACCTAGGTATATCGGTAAAACCTGGGATGATGATTGCAAACGTGGAAAACAAACCGCTACAAGAATACCGAACTATCGAAACTGCCAAGGAAGCTATTAGCTTCTCCTGGGTATGGAGCCGAACAAGGTGCTGTTTTCGATCGCTTGTGTTCTAGCCATTCGCGGTAGGACCATTGCAGGAAATCCAAGTACTCGTAAACTCTCTCTCTCTCATGTAAATGAGAGAGAAGCCTTAGCTGGCCAAAATTTGCCAGTCTTGGTAACAGCCGAGGGCGACTGTGCGTGAATGCTGGAGAAGGGCTTGAGCGCGGAATCAGGCAAGCACGCCAAAAGCGCAGAAACTCAAATTGCAAACATGTAGGTTTGTGAAGAGGCAGAAGTGTGCGCTCCTATGCCAAGCTAATGCGGACGAATCCACGCCTCACATGTTGGTCCATTCACGCGCCCAAGGAACCTCCAAAAACCTTCCTCAAGCATTGAATACAAATTGAAAAAGTTGTTCTTCGACTAAAAGAGTTACTGATATACACATGCGATTTATCGGACAGCTAGGGAATTTCCATGGAACGGTGTTGAAACACCATACGCTCACACTTGAAGGGCTGTTTCCGCTTTCGATAGGAAGTTTTAACTTCAAAAGGAGCACGCAGGCAAGCAAATAATATGATGACTTACTCATATAATTTTTGACATTCGGGCCACCTATACCACATTCCGCGTTCCAGTCGACTGGGAGGTATCTAAATCATTTCAAATGACTAAGGAATTGATATTTTACGATTATTGAAATTTCAATCGCACGAATGTGCCTATACGGCTATGCAACTCTTCAAATGCTCTCACTGACATAGTAAAAAAAGATTAAAAAAAGTAGCACACCTATTCATAGCTGATTTGAATGCATCGAGTGTACAGGGGTCTTCACATCCCGGTATATTGTAGTGATACAAACTGTCAACATCAGTGACGTTCTTGTAGTATACCTATATTCGAATAAGATACACCTGATACATGTATTTGGCATTATTAACAAATGTTGTTGCGCACCTCTACTATTAATTGTCCATTCTTCCTGTGAAGCTCAAGAAGTACAGCACTCGAATAACGCGGAAAATGTTCCGGAAATATTCCCATGGCAGACAACATGGCCGCAAGCGTCGTGTCGTGCTTAATAGAAACTACATTGAACTCTGCGATTTCGATCATGAAAGAATGCAGATGGGAGAAATAAAAAAAGGGCCGCAGTTCAAAGTGCGCAGGCATTAGCAGGTAGAAGTTTGCAGACACATTCACTGACAAGCAACTCTGCCCTAAAAGCAAGGTTTTTACGCAACCAAGCAAAAATGTTCACGAAATGTGCTAGCTTTTCGACTTTTTCCAACGAGTAGAACTTTTTTTCAGAAATTGAGCTGAGGTTGAGTTGGCAAGACCGTCATGAAAGCCGACCTTTCTCTAAATAGCTTTCACTCAGCATTATCGCAAAGTCACTCGATATTCATTCATTTGTTGCTTGCGTCTTATAAGCAGATATAAGAAAGTATTCGAACACCAAACACAAGCTTCAACCATTAGCTCTACGCCGCAACCAGCTGGTTAACCAATTACCCTGACCCACCCAGACACGTGGCCACTTCTCATAAGGAACCTGAAGAACGTGCGTCTCCTTTTGCACACGCCAGGCTTTTTTTACCACGCGCCTC